AAATCTCATGTAATAGACTGAAAGATGGCAATAGTCAGAGAAAAATGTTCTGATATCTTTTGATGAGCAGGAACTTACCCCTCTAAAATAAGAGAGTCAAAAAGATTGGCATAAACACGATTGTATGTTGAGTGCCTAGGCTTAACCACTGTTGATTCAGGTATAATGATTTCTGGAAATTAAAAGACTTTGGAAATTATAAGAAAAGAAACTATCAAAATGAAAAGGCTTTTGCAAAAAAAAAAAAAAAAAAAAAAAGAATAAATCTGTCAGTACTGACCTGGTCTTCAATTTACCATAAACGCAAAAGTTTACATGAGACAGAGTAGCAACAAACTTTAGGTTTGAATTACACAAAGAGCAATGATAGATGAACATGCCCTTGCTTTTGTCATCTGCAGAAAAAGAATTTCATGGCCTCCTAATGACAATGAAACTGAACAAGTACATCCAGAGTTAATCAGATTAGCAAACCTGGCATCAGAAAGCAACTTTCACCTGTATGCCTTCAATGACTCTTAACTAGCTCATAACTTTCCTCTTAACTTTATCCTAATATTTCTTTTAATTTTCTTGATACAAATAACTTTCATTTCCCTGCTAGCATGGATTACTAAATTAACTAGTGAAGCCTAAGTAAGAGTAACCTGTTTCCAAGGTATATGGATACTGACTTCCTTTTTCATCCTATCCTAGACTTACAGCTCTATACACTTGGACCTGTTTTTACTCTGTCGTTGATCTGAAAAGGAAAGAGTAGGACAGCACCTGAGAAGACTGTGGTGGGCAGCACACCACCTGCATAAAGAGGCGTATTCAGCTCACACATATACAGGTGTGTGACCTCTCCAGTGAACTGAATGAAAGCAGCACATCTACTTTCAAAGTAGAATCTGCTTATAAGAAAAAAGTGGCAAGATTGGAACTGTAGGAAAGACTAAAACTTTCAGAAAGCTAAAAATTCTCTCTCTAATCCCTATCACTCCACATGCAGTTAAGATACTGTCCAGAAAGTGAAATTTTGCACAACAGAAAAATGAGGGAGATTGCTATTTCAGGAGTAAAGCATCATCTCTGCTCTGTGGAGTTCCCAAGAATATTCAATCCAGCATCCTTTCCCAAAAGTTCGTTATCAGCTCTTTCATCAAAACATCATTTAGAAACCCTTCCAACAAAATTCTGTTTTACGGTTACTAAACTGCTCTAGAAATCTGTCATGTTACAGTTCATTAACTGTCACTGGATTTTACCTTACTATTATTTAGTGACAGAAGTTGCATATATCTTACTATTTTTATAAATGTGAGGATCTGAAATTAGATCTTTAAAATGGCAACTATTTTATCTAACACATCAGAATCTCTTCTTTTTCTTATTAATTGCAAAAAAAAAAGTTCTCAGACAATTTCAAATGCTCACAAAGTCAATTCTGACACAGTATGAGTAGTTGCAATTCTATGTAAGACACCAAGTCTATATTTGGTCAAAAAAAAAAAAAAAAAAAAAAAACAAAACAAAACCACAGAACACCACCAGAGTCTTCTTAGGCCTGATTCCAGTCAGCAGAGTCACTCACAATTTTACAGTCAACATGGTAGGTACAGATTATATTCAATGCCTTAAGTAGTTTACATGGTTCTGTCTGCTATTATGAAAAGAACCATAAATGTATACAGAAAATTTTAATTCTTTATCCCACATCCATTAAACGTCTCAGAGGATTCCAGGCCACCTCCTCACACATGTAAGTAAAAGCTGAAGAATAGAAAGCAAGGACTGATTTTTATCTCAAGGTTATGGAAACATCATTAAACCATAAAACCATGGTGTCAAAAATTTATCTTGACATTAGAAAATGTCTCACTGGAATTAAAGCCTTATCATGTAATTAACTGCAGATAATTCTGTTTAATACTAAGAATCAGAATTTAAAAACAGTCACAACCTTGATAAATGGCACGTTAAATAAACTGAACCTTCTGAAGAGTGATCAGATAGCAAGAATGAAAAAAATCCAACTCCAGCTCAAAGAATAGTTCATGCAAAAGCAAATTGTCTAGTAAGGACAGGGCAATGCTGTCAAAAAGGAAGGTGCATTACCCTTCTAAAACACCTCCCCATTCAGTACAGCTGGTATTTTGCACAGGTCTTATGCAAACTAAAAATACATTGGGGTGAAATTCTGTTCCCATGGAAAGAAATGACATAGCTTTCTTTGATCTTCAATGGGAAGTTTGGACAAGTTTGCACTCAAGGGGACCCTCTGCCCATTAAGCATCATAAGCAAGTGAATAAAACTATAATCAATTTTCAGAAAGACAAGAGCAGTGGCCAGCAGAGAAGGAGGACTGTTTAAAAGAGCTTCTGAGAAGCTCTTTTGACCTAAATCAGGTTGGAGATTTTCCAAGAACTATCTGGAATTAAGTCATCTCGCTGCAGGATCGTTTTTCTCTTTTTGTCTGGCTGTCTGCTTATTTTCCTTCTTGAGGATCCAGCATCAAACAGAATAAAAAATGACCTCTGACTGGATCTTCTTGTAGCATGCAATGAAAGACTTGATCCAAAAAAGTTCAATGTTAGAATAAGCACCTACTGAACTTGAAAGGAATGTTGGAAGAAGTTGGGAAAACAAGATTACATCTTGAAGTCATGTATCTGTAGTATTTCTTTATTCCATGACCACACAGAGAAGTCTTCACAGCTGGTCTTTTTTAGAGTTACACTACAGAGAAAAGGCATCATAAATCTTTTATCAGAGACTTTACTGTTCCAAAGCCTTAAATTTTACCTGCTGGAAATAAGCATCCCTATTCAGTTTAAGGAAAAAAAAAAAAGAGAAACTATATTTTCCATTGACATTCAGCTTATCTTCCAAAAAAGCATTCTATGGAAGTGACAGAAAAATGTCTGCTGCTACCTCACTAGGGATGGGGGCATATTAAAATCATATTTTAATATAATGCCATACTTCATAACACACTCATCTGACAATCAAATTGGGAAGGTTATGAACTACCACACGGAAAATTAGAGAGCAAGAATAGAGCTTTCCAAAAAGCATTGTGCTTGACAGAACTCTGAATGAGATGTTAATTTTACTCACATGTAAAGCACATGGGTATACTTATTCACCAGCTCCTTTCTCCCAACCAACTCACCTATTCAGTTAGATTCTTCTGTCCCTTCTGTCAATTCTTTTTCTTATTAATGGTATGAAGTACCTGTATTCATGATAGGTCTATGTAATTTGCTCTCCACTTTCCTAGGGCAGACTATCACACAGACTCAGTAAAATGAGCAAAAGGAAGAAATAAGACCTACTTCAAGCATCTAACAGCCTCTGAATTTCCAGAAGAGGAAGGAAAGGGGAAGGGAAAGGGAAACCAAAACTTAAGAACTCAGTAATTTGCAGTACATTCAAATTGGTGGGGACAAATTCACAGTCAACATAAGGAGTACGTTGAGTTAAAAATATCTTTGTGACAGCAAAGCTATAGTGGGACAAATGTTGTCATTAACAGGAACATTCCTAGTTGTACCATTAACAGGATATGGAGATGGGAAGTCTTGACTTTCACTCTGCCCTTGATGCCCCTTCACATCACCTTGGGTGGAAAGAGGAGGTGCACACATGTGCAGAGGCTTCTGCATGCGTGTACATAAAAAGATTTAAAATGCTTCCTTATTTTCTTCACCGGTGCACCAATATATTGGGCAACCATCACGCTGCTCCAGTAAAGCCACCTCCATCTTAAGCTTATTATTACATAGAAGGCATCAACATTTGTAAAGCATTTCTTACAAGCTTCAACTCAGTTCAAACCAGTCAAGCGGTGATCATCTTCTGATACTCAGCCTTATCTTCAGCTGTACAAATTCTCTAAACCAGATAGCACAGTGTGCGTATTTCATGTGAAATGCATCTGACAAACTTCAGGCCAAAGCAGCGTGCCAACGCAAGACAGTAAAAGTTTGAGTGGAGACTAGTTAGTGCATAAGATTTATCTACAAGTCCTTTTGACTGGGTGTATTTCATCCTGCGTGGTTTTTCAGGAAAAATTGCAACTTTACATCACAGCAGTCTAATCACCAATTAAAAAATCCAGAAAAGCAATACAAATTAGTAGATTACTCCTACTCCTTCTGTCCATAGAAGATTCCACAACTGTGCCAAGAGATTAAAAAAAAGTAAAAAATTTTATATTGCATTTTTATTTAATTTCTCTAAAAGAGGCTCTTCCTTTTGTTTATATCAGAAGAAAAACATCTAAGAGTTTGACTTCTTTCATTAGAAAACGCTTATTAAAACAACTAAAACATACATGAGTTCAGATAAATCTTATGCCAGCATTGTTCAAATGAAGCTTTCTGAATTGAAAGCAATAAAGTATCTACAGCAGACGCCAACAATATTTAGTTAGTAACGTAACAAACATTTTACATATAGTGGAAATTAATTTCAAGTACTTCACGTGTAGCCTTTTGGAATAGATGATCCACATGGCCACTGACAAAGCAGTTTGCAGGACACAGTACTGCCAAGAACACCCATTAGCACATACTACTAAATGACAAAGCAGAATGGGAATATATCTGCAAATATAAGATATTTTGCAGAAAAACTCTAGGCTGAAGAGTGATGCTATATGCTCTTTATCACTGTGGAAAAATTATTTAGGTTGATTGACTCAATTGTTTTTGAACTTGTTTGGGTTTTAATGCAACTTAAAAAAAAGTTTTCAGGAGCTTTACCATGATAACTTAAAAAGGGAAATGAAAAAATATCCTCTGGCTGCTGCTTTAATTTTGAAGTGTTACAATTATATAAAAGCTATACTTCTGCTTAAATACTGACTGAATAGAAAAAACAAATAGTCTGATTTCACTTTGTAATATATCACATTCTGGATGTGTCTACTGAACTCCCACTCAAAAATAAATTAAGAACACAAGGGAAAGATAATTTATGAGTTGTCAAGCAATCACATTTTAACACTTACTTTTGTGAAGATCTGAAAAAAGTCAATTGCAGGTGGCAAGTGAGATGCATCCTGGATCTCCGTTTTCAAATACAGTTGCAACGTCTGCGCAAGGTGCCTGAGGCCATCTTTCATTTCTTCACTCAACTGCTCAGTATCTTAAAGCAAAGAGGGGAAAAAAAAAAAATCATGTCATAAACAGAACCTTTTGTCAACATTTTGAAAATGTCCAATGGCAGCCATACAGTCTAGACATTTCCAGTCCCAAAATTAATCTTGACAGAGGGCAATTTTGACAGAGGGCGTACATTTGTCATTTTTGTGACAGCTACCTATCAACACACAGAAGAGTTTATCAGGTTGCTACTGCCAAATCATATGAATACAATGGTGAGTTAAAGATCAAAAGCCAATAGATAAAGCAGATGTGTAAGCAGATGCAAGACATTACATACGAAAATTAGGCATCTGGGTTTGTAACGTTAAAAATGTGCTTGAAATTTTATGTGGCAGTACCTTCCTCCTTGCAACAGTGCATATTTTTATACTGTATTTTCCACAGATGTGTCAGAAACACTTTATGCTGGCAGATCAAAAGGGAAAGTATTTGAGAGACAAAGGTAGTTTCATACACTGAAGCTGGCAAAGCAATGGATATGGAAGATTATTAAGCAAATATCACATTATTAAATCCTAAAGCACTATTACTCATATTCACTTTATTGATAGGAAACCTGAAACAGAAACATGGTGCCTTATTTTCTAATGCATGACCTGATCACACATGCATCACATCACTAACATGGCAAGTGAAACTCAGCTGCCCTAGTAAGTTCCATGCATGATTAGCTGCTTCACATTTTCTTTTTCCTGCCAGTTAGCACAAAATGAATAAGGCCTAAATGGAGAATGTGAAGGTGAACAGATTAGGCATCAGTCTATAACAAAGGGCAAGGAGGATTATTATACATTATGAATCAATTTCAGCTCTGCATAATGGGGAATTGTTATTTTATCTTAAACATCTATCCTTAATGGGAATGGAAATAACCTTTTACCAAGAAATCTTCTTCCCTGTACTTTAGATCCAAGCTTGTTGGCCTCCTGCAAGGACAATTCAAGGTCTGTGATCCTCTTTAAAGCTATCTCCTAGTCACTCACTTACAAATAGGATGCAATTAAAGCAGATGTCACTGAGTTTGGTTAAACAGCTGTCTAGTGTGTACAGTACTTGAGCTTCTGTGCTCTGTCCCACCCGCCATCCCTCTGCTTGAAGGTATTGGCTGTTTTGTACACTGCAAATTGGCTATCACGAAGCTTGCATTTCACACACACCACACAAATGAGCTGCTTTAATAATCTCCTGTGAACTACTTCTGGAAGAGCACAAAATGCTAGCTTACCAAAATGGCCAGTACCCATGGTTGACTACCAGCCAGGAGTCTTCCAGTGGAACCAGCTACCATTTGCTTCTAGCCCGGTATGGGTTTCCTTATTTGCAACCTCTTCAGTTGTTTAGACTTTCTCTGGAGCCAGAGGGCCACCCTGGTTAGCTGAATGATGCAATCCTACCAGTACATTGTATTATGGCAAATGTACCCCTCTTCATGCTACATACAGAGTTCAAGAAGCATCTATATTATCTTATCATATATTTGTTTCTATTTCAGCGTCAAGTAACACTTTCCAAGGTCTACTTCTGTTCCAATGGTCAGTCGTTGCTGCTGAAATGCCATCTACAAGCCATGCCTGGAGTGACTCTGCAATGTGCTGAGCAAGCAATGACTCCCGAGGAGTCTTAAGGGTGGCTTGTCCCTACTAGGGTTAGGGAAGGAGAAGTGTGCTCTCCCAGAGCAATTGGATTCAGCTCCTCACAAGGTTCAAACCAGCTAGTACCAAGAATGCTGAGATACACCCCTCTGTACCTGGCACAAAGCCTATTTAACTAAAGTATTTGCCTTTTCATAGCTACCCACCACAACACCCATGTGCATCTTAGTATTCTGGACATTCGAGGGTGATCTTGCAAGACTGAATGAATGAACATGTTAGAAATCCAGATGAGTGCTTTTCACAATGTATGGAAATCTCTGGTACAGAAGAGTACCACATCTATGAGGACTGTATCAACAAGAAAAGCAGCAAGTGTTTAGATGACTGGAAAAACTCAAGTTTAAAAAAAATTTTAAAAAAATATCATAAACATACACTGGCATTTCTTATATAATATCCCTTTGAAACTAAAGATGCTTTTTCCTTTAAATGTAATTTTTCAAGACAACATGTCATTAAACCACCAGACACACATTGCAAAATGTATTATGACAAAGAGAGAAAGGCACGACTTGCTTCACTGTTAGCAAATAAAACACTTCTAGAATGGAAAAGAAGAATCGTGTAAGCAGCACACTGTAAGTGGACACTGCAGTTTAGGACAGATGTGAACAAAAATACTGAATCCAACTGGAACTTCAGGGAGAACTGACAAAGACAGGAGCAGAATGCAATTATCCACGTTGGAAACTGTCCAGGACATGAGAGCTAATGATCCCAGCAAAAATTCCCATGGAATCTTTAATGGCAAATGATCAAGACCTAGTTTTCACAACATGTCAGGAAGCCAAGGCCAAAAGCAAAGTGAAACAAAATTTGTGAATGTTTTAATCTTGTGGTTTTAAGAAACTTTTTTTCATTTTTTTTTTAAGAACCCTGGTGTGGGAGAGAAAATGCTATAAAAGATGTGGAAAGTTTTCTAAATAAGGCATGGGGATTTAATTATGTGGCTCTGATACTGACACAAATAGCAAAAAGTCTGCCCATATACAGCACACAAACTCTTTTCTGTGTACTGAATCTTGCTAAGTGAAAGCAAAGTTGGTTTCTGAATGAAAGCAAGCCTGTAAAACCACATAAGTAAAGGATTGTCCTCTAATAAGTGAGAACTAGGAGAAGTAACAATGCACACAGACATCCCTGCTACTTAACTGAGTTTCAGGGTACACAATGAATTTGCAGGAACTATGGAGCTGGGAATAGAACTTCATAAAGGCCTCCACATGGTTTTTGTGGAGTTTTTTGAAGTATATATATTACATATTTTATCAGATATGTATTTGATAAGTGTATAAAAATTGATATGCTTTTATTCAGTTATGTAAGTTACACACACTGAAAATCACCCAACCGAATAAAGTAATGTTGAAAAGTAATAGTGTAAAGGAGACTGAGAAAGCATAGTGATAACGACAATTTTCAAGTATTTTGGACTTCCGGGGGCGGGAGGGGAAATAGTATCAATTAGAATTCTATCTGTCATATTTCTGATTAGTGTTGAAACACTATCTTCTATTATACAGATGCTTCCTGAGAAGTTTTTTTGCTTCAGAGGATCACAACCTGTATTTCTAGCTCATGTGATTCCCTCCAAGGAAATCTTTTCCCCCCATATACTTAGACGTCTAATGAAAATACTTTCCTGACTTTCCTATGGATTCTTCCAAGCATCAAAGGAAAGTAAATCCTTATCAACACCATCTGTAAACTGTGCAGTAAATGGGAAAAATGCTATGAAATAACAATAGGTTTTTGAGGATACAGAGGCAGCAAAAAGTATCACAGTTGCTATCAATTGTCACACTATCTGAAAACACTCTTTTGGACTATTCTAACTGCAAAACCATACAGACTGTCTATTCACTCTAGCAAGTAAGCTGTGAAAACAGCAAAAGGAAAGAGCCAAAACCTTTACATAAGATTATGTGAGTGTCAGAGGCTGTTTGTAGTGTATTCTGTAAAGTATCAACATGGGTTAACATCTAGGAGTCCCGAACACCTTGCACTTTGGAGTTTAGAAGATTACACAGGAATTGTTATTAAAGCTCTTAGAGTAAATACAGGTGAAATGCCACATGTGGATCTCTCATTTGCCTCCTCCTAAACTAACTTGCTATGGACCAGCTGTTTCTCTATCAGTGATGGGACAGTCATCCCACCTGTATCACAGGCTGTATCAGCATTTCCTTTAGAATGAGAATTTTAGTAGAAGCTTCCATTTCACAGATTTTCGTACCATTTACCCATTGCTGCTCAGTCCTGTTCAATACCAAGCTTCTCTCCAAACAACTTACCACACCATTCCCTTTGTCTCCAGTCAAGTCAAGGGAAGCTGAGATCATCTCCTGAGGGGTACTGAGAAACCTCAGTTTGCATGGAATTATCAGTTACACAAAAAAACTTTGCCTACACTAAAGAAAATTGCTGTACAAGCAATCAAGATTTAATCTTTAAAAAGGAAACTCTTCCCCCTCCAGTTCCTCCTGTGGCACCAGCCACTGGTACGATAGAGCACCATAAAGATTTTTTTCCCTGAATCCCAGCAGTGCCATGAAGCAGAGATGTCTGTGGTCTTCATCCTTTTAACTTCATTTGAAGCAGCTGGAAATGCTGCTCTTAATTCAGATGCTCATCTAATTCTCCCATAAACCTTTGTTATATGATTTAAGAATATCCATGGCAGAAAATCCTAATGGTTTAAATTATTGAAATACATTGCCCCTATCCCTTTTAATTTGTTGCCTTATTAAGGTCTTCTCCCTTACAGTTTGGGAGAAGGCAGCAGAATGTCAGGGTGTACAGAAGTAAAACATAACACTAGTTATTGTGGTTTTTTATGTTTATGTGTTTTTTATTTCTAACTAACTATATAAATAGATCAAGCTGGTTTATAGCCAAAGCTCTGAATAATACTAAAAATGTTGAGGTAATCGAAATATTCACACTACTCTCTAGAAAATCCTTTTCAGCAAAGATGCAAGAATGAACTAAGGATATATTTCTTCCCTTATAAGTCTTAAAACTAAGCTACTGCAAAATCTGGAAAAAATGTTTTTTATTTCAACATTAGCTCTGCTGAAAGTTTATAATGAGCATCCTTTCCTACCCAAACAGCTGAAACTTGTGAAACCACAAAAATAGTATCTGCACAATTTTATCTTTTTTCTCCATTGAAAAGCCACGTAGGATGACGACACACACATATCCCTTGTAAATTTTACATTTCTTTCCTTCTTCTGGAAGTTATTTTGAAGCTTATAAATATTTTAAAAGTAAAACCTTAATGTAAAAAATACATGCATTTTTGTATATGTATATAAAATATTGGCACTGTATCTAATAAGGCAGATGGGGCAAATTAAAAACTGAACAGGCAAGATGTACACTGTAAAATTAGAAAAAAATACTAAAGCCAAAAAATCAGGTGGAAGCTTTGCTCGAACAAGACACACATGTTTTTTCCCTGATCTTTGTAAAAAATGTTCTTCCTCACAGAGGTTTTAGCAGGTTTTGTCTTTGATTCTGTTATTCTACAGAAAGCAAGCTGCAAAAAAATCAGATGGCCATTCTGTAAAGCAGAACTTGGAAGCATTTCCTGCAATATGGTTGGCAATTACTTACTTGACTGAAGATCGGAAAAAGAGTAGAGTCTCTCAGAAAGGCATACTGATCGTCTAAGCTGTAGAAAAAAACCAAATAATTAACACTTACATAGCACGCTTTATCTTGAAAGCACTCTACAAGATTGATTATTCAATGTGATATGCCTGTAAGATAATTAGGTGAGACTAACAGCATCAACATAAATCTGGTCATTCCGTACTTGCTGTAAACTATCATAGAAATACTAAATTTTTCTTGGTGTTATAACACTTTCTACTATTCTATTTTTTTTATTTTTTTTTTTTTTTACTTCAGCAGCTTACCCTTAGTAATTTACTTTGGCCCTTCACACTGTAAGTGAAAGCAATTTATGAGGTTAGCAGTCTCAGATTTCATGTGACTATAATTAATGCACAGTATAGCTAGGTACGCATTTGCCCTTTAAGAACAATCATGCACACACTCTTCCCAACAACGTACAAATTAAGATATTAAATCATATTTTATCACCTCAAACCACAACAAATGCACACATATTTATCCAAGACAGACAGCACCATGGCAGGGTCAGGAAAAGAAATGGGCAAATCCTTTTTGATTTACAATCTCACACAGTCATAAGCTGCTTAACCTAACAGAAAACTTAGTCCACATAAATTAATCAAACCATGGGTTTGGACTTCCTGGAACCCAGGACTTCCAAGAGAGTTTTGAAAGAGAAAAAAAGATGTAATTGAAATTAAGAGAACCCAGCACTGAAAGCATGGCATTGTGGCTTCTAAAGGAAGGGCTAGCCAACAGTATTTCTGACCTTACCACTCATCCAAATAAGGCTGAATGAGGTTCCTAGTGAAGTTAATAGAAAAGCACCAATAGCTTCAGTAGTATTGAAGAAAAAACAGTGTCCCTCTGCGTTTTCTATCTAGGCAGAAATAAGTTTAGAATGCTACCACATAGTCACAGGAAGAGAAAGTCGATAAACCAGTCCCTTGAGCTTAATTATGTCCATTTTATTGTCTCTTGATCCTTTCAACATTTCTGCAAATTAATCAGTAATCTTGTAATGCAATATGCAATCCAACTTTTTTCAGCAATCCCAGTCACTTCAGCTTTCTAGCTCTTAATTACATTAAAAATGTAGAGTGAAAAAGTATTTATCCAAATCTGCTACACTGAATAAATCTAAAAGAATGTCACTTACTAGTTTAAAAACAATCCTGCCAGCAAGTCTGACAGAGTCTGGAGGAAAATTAGGCTCGATGCTCTTAAGACATCTGCA